TTTTTTGCATAAACAAAATCATAAACTTATATATAGCATGTACGGAAATGTAAAAAATAATAAAAGAAAATACAGAGAGATATAGTGGATTTTAACAATGAGCCGTAAAATCAAACAGGGTCATGAACTCCAGATTAATGGAAATTTCAGGGTCATGAACTCCAGATTAATGGAAATTTCGGCCCTTTTTTTTTAGAAGACCGGATTAATGAAAACTTTGCGGACATATTAATGAAAACTTTCGGCCTTTTTATTTGTGGTGGCGCGGACGGTGGAGGGTTTTGTGTGAGAAAAGAGAGAGAAAGAGAGAGCCGTGTGTGAAGAAGAGAGATGTAGTTGATGAGAAGTTACCATATAAATAGGAAATTAGCTGTTTAGGTATATATGTAAATAAATATAACAAATTTAGCTAATTTGTAAATAATTATATAGGAGATGTAATTGTGTAATATTTTTATATTGTTTAAGTGGAGCGTGCAAATTCCTCAATAATAATATTATTAATAAATAAGCTTGGCCCAAGTATATGATGTTATCAACCATCATTAACAAAAAAATCTTTTGGCCCAAACATATAAATCTATATATATATATATATATAAAGAATTACCATTTTTAAATTTTAAATGGCAAGTTAAATTGTGGTCAAATATAATTGAGCATTAATTGCATGCTATTAATAGCAAATTTTCATTTTATTTTTTATTTAGAAATGTGCATCATTAATTATTTCATTTAATGGAGTTTGTTATTTATTTTTGTGCAAGATTAGACTGTTATTTTTTCATTTTCACAAATTAAAAAAAAAAACTTTCTTTAACCTATAATCGTGTACCACGTTGCAAATTTTATTTTATTAAAAAAAAAATAAATTACGCCTAATTTAATAATATAAACTTAAGTTAGTATTACAAAAAATCAGAAACTCTTTTAACATCAACTCTCTACAATTGTTCTAATTGGATGTTTTTATTTTTTTAAAAAATAAATTACAATTCATTTATTTGGTGGATTTTGTACATTTAATAAATTACAGTTCAATTAAACCCCTAAAAAATAAATTGGTGGATTTGGTTCCATTAAGTTCTAAAAATTTCGATCATTGAATATTTGAAATTCAAGATCCTTTCTCATATTTGATTTAAAAAAATCCAATTGTGTTTTTTATTCCAAACTATCAATTGCCAAAAAAAATTACCTTAAAACTTGGAGTGAAAATTTGAAATCCAAAATCCCTTCTCATTTTAGTTGCCATAAAATTTGGCTTCATTCAAACTCTTTCTAATATAAAGGATTTTGTTCAAATTAAATTTAAAAATATCTAATCATATGCTTCTATCCTTGAACGGCTAACCTTAAATGAAGAATTTTGCGCCACTTTAAAATTAACAAACCTCTTGGAAATTACAAAATTATAATGAATTTCATTTTTTTAGGTTTCAATTTGCACGAAATTCAAAATGGTTTAAGAATTTCAAATCAATCAAAATTCATCTCTTTAATTTTTTTCCATAAGTTTCAAAATTTTACAATAATTAAGTCAAATTACAAATGTTATTGTTTCAAAAATCAAGAGGATAATTTTGAAAATAGACAGTTTTTTTTCAAAATTGTCTTAGTCTCCATTCAATATAAAATAAATCCCATTTTATTTGTAAAATTGATAAATCTGCATAAAGCGTGGAATTTTGTGCGTACAAATTTTTTCTACAATAACTAAAAAATAATAATAATTTTAAAATCTTCTGTACTCAAATTACTTAAAAGAATAATAAGAATAATTTTGAAATATTTTGTACTCAAATTACTCAAAAGAATAATAATAATAATTTTGAAATCTTCTATACTCAAATGTTCAGGTACGGTAGTACCGTCGTAATTTTCAGCATCATGTCAATATTTATTTTATATATACTAGGTAATTTTTTTTTTCAAAACATTATAATGTATTTATTTAGGCTTATAATATTTAGATACTTTTATATAATATTTTACCATGTCATATTCATAAAACATCTTCACACAAATGTAAACTTTAATGTTTTTAGATATATTTTCTTTACAAAAAAATCTAAAAAAATTTAGGTGACTTCACATCTTTTAATAATAATATTTAGATAATTTTACATATGTTAATAAAATATTTTAGGAGTTTTTATTTGTTTAAACATACAAATTTTATGTTCTCTTGAACAAGCTAATTTTATATCGTTTATAATAAAATGATATACCGTAAATTATATGACATGTTAACCCCACATCGTTAATTTATAAATATTATTTAATATCGTTTACCCTCATTTTTAATTTATAATATCTTTCTTGCTCTTTTAAGAAAAGATCAATAGTGGTTCCGTGACTCGAACTCGAAACTTATTTATAATTATTATTTAATATTGTTTACCCGTGCATCGCACGGGATACGCACTAGTAAGCCCAAATAAAAAAACAAGGTTAACAATTGCCAACATAGTTTATAGAAATATAGAATCATCCACATTGCTAGACCCGTCCGCAAAAAGGGGCAACTGGTACAGAGCTATCGTCATCCTATTCCTCTGTTGTCCTCTGTTGTCCGCCGACCGACGCCGGCTCCGACGTTATCATCGACTTCCCAAATTTTCCGATTTTAACCCAGATCTGTGCGATTCCGGACCGGTTGAGACCCATAAATGTCGTCATCTCCACTCGACGGAGTTTGTCCCCTTTTTTTTAAAGGAAATCTTTATCTGTTTTTTTTTTTTTTTTTTTTTTTTCACTTTTTGTGAAGAAGATGAAGAAGAAAAATGAAAATATAAGGGAGACTAATTTTTTATATAACATTGTTGAAAGAAATTTGAATTCCATTCCTAAAATTTTAGATCATAGATTGACGGGCTTAATGGGCGGGAAATGAATTTTGGTTAACCACAGTTACGATTTTTGTTGGTTTGACTGAGACTTTTAGCATTTAAAAAATAAAAAATAAATAAAAAAATAAAAAAGTTGATAATCGACACGTGTGCCAGTGAGGGCAGTGCCCTCACCGGTAGGATCGAATTTACCCCCTTTTAAACAAAGTGGCCCAATTTTCACCGTTCAAACTTCAAATATGCTCATTCAAAAATGGAGTCGAGCGACCCAAGAGCGCTTAGATGAAATGGCTTGGGTCTCTTCCAGCTTAATCAATGGTCTCCTGTTCGAGTCCTGGGAATGCATCAGTGTTAAAACTCTTGAGGGAGAGCTTTGCCGCCTTTGTGGTCCTACCTGACTCGATTCCAAATTAGTCGGTTCCCCTGTGGATTCGAAAACCGGAAAGTCCCTATACCCAAAANNNAAAAAAAAAAAAAAAAAAATTGGAGTCGAGCGGCATCATGAGAAGAAGATGAACAAACTCTTTTGAACAATTCAATCCTCTAAACCAAAGAGAAGGACGAAACCTGCAACAAGAAAGGGAAACGGAGAAAAAAAGGTGAAAAAGCTGAGGACATTAAAGACTGGTAACTGGTTGGGGTGGGTTTTGTGTGACCCATGGGGTCGAAGAAGCTGATCGTGACCGTTGAAGGCACGGCCGCCGTCGGCGCCTTCTGGCAGACCATCGTTTCCGATTACCTCGACAAGATCATCCGGTACGAAATCTTCATGTCGCCACCACTGCGTGCGTTCTGTGTTTTTGCACAAACGATTAATTGGGCGTATTCTTGCGGCTACTCGAGATATTTTGTTTATAGGCTATCTGCTTGCGTTGTTACTGTTTGGGGAAATGAATTTCACGAAATTCGGCACTATACCCTTTTTTTTTAATAAAACATCAGTTAATGCTATTTGATAGTGTGTTTGTGTGTGTGTGTGTGTGTGTGTGTGTGTG